TGGGGATCATCGCAGGGCGGAGGGGGCGGGGGGTTTTGGAAATTTTTTTTGGGGGGGTATTTGGGTTAAGGGTAGTGAGTCAAGGGCTTTTGACAGCGCGTTGTTTAGACGGCCCAACCCCAAGGGGGGGCAGGACAGGGGGGATGCGGTCGTGGATTTGACAGCTGCAGGGGGAGGGGGGCGGGTTTTTAAGGTTGCGGGGGGTTAGGTGGTAGAGTGTGGCATTTGGGGGTAGGCGTTGGAGGACGGGATAGAAAAAGGAATGGGTTGTGGTCAGAGAGAGGGAAAGGGGGGTTTTTAGTGAGGTTGTGGGAGGCAGCGGTTGGAGAAACAAGAAAAAGGTTATTACCGCGAGTGGGGGGGATTGTATGCCTGTGCAAGTGTAAAGGAGGAGGTTAAGTGGAGGAGACGGGCTGTGTTCCGGGTTGTCGGGTGGTTGACCAGCGGATGTTGAAAGAGATCCCCATAGAGATGATGGTGGTGGTGGCTAGCTCAGAGGAGTGGGAGAAGGGTATAGCCAGGAGGGGGGAAAAGTCATTCAGGAAGAGGGATATGATATGGATTCCTGGAGGCCGGGGGTATATAACAGTCAATCTCTCAGGGGGGTTTGGTGGAGAATAGTTCGGAAGCAGTCTGGGGCTCGAGGAGGGAGAAGGATAGGAGAATGGGGGGGTTTGGGTGAGGACTCGGCAGTAAGGTGCTCTGACGGTGCACCAGGTGAAGGCCAACCCACCACCTTTACGAACGTTTGGGCCTGGTGTTTGGAGTGGGGTCCAGGAGAGGACCACTCCGTAGGTAGAGTTGCAGCAGAGGAGAGGTATAGACGTCAGTGGCCTGGATCCAGGTTTCCGTATATCGCTGGGAGGTTGAGGGGAGCGGGGGAAAACAAAAGACGGTCGTGGATGGCCGGTAAGCTTGTGGCACACCGGATCCGGCGTTCAGGAGTGCCGGGGGGGGGAGAATTTTAGGGTGCAGGGGGACAGATTACTAAGTTGCGCGCTGGGTTGCATGCTAGGCATGACGTTGGAAGGTGGGAGGGGTTTGTGAGGGTGAGGGATGTTGGCGGAGGGCCAGGAATTTCGGGGAGATGTCCCCCGCAGTTATGAAGAGGAGAAGGGTGAGAAAGGGTGGCATGGGAGGGGATGTGCAGGAGCGTGAGAAACTACTAGTGGAGGTGTTGGGGGTCAGTGGGAGAGTGGTGTAACAGGAGGAGGTGGTAGGTGCCATAGAGGGGTGAGGGAAGCAGTGAGGACACAATATACAAAAAGAATGTTTGGGAGGAGAGCAGAGGGATATAGTGAATGGATTTTGGGAACAGAGGAGAGAGAAAAATGAGAAGAAGGAGTGGAAGAGGCATTTTGGGGGAGGCGATCATGCAACGGCAATAGTAGGGAGATGATAGCAATGAGGGGGAGATGTTGTACAAGTTTTGGGGTGGAGCAGAGGGGTAAAGAAAATGAGATTTGGGGAACAGATGATAGTAATATGAAGAGGAGAAAAGGGGTGTGTATTATATAAATGGTACACGGAGTGGGCGGTCTCGGGTATGTAAGAGATGTTTCCCTACAGGGTGTTTGCTTGCAGTACGTCTGAGTCCTATTTTTGCATGCAGTAGAGTTTCTTGCTGTTGTTTGAGTCTTCCTGCTGCTTAAGTTCTCCTGCTTTAGTTCAAACTGCTGTGTGTTTAACTGCATCGCACTCATTCAAAGCCACACTCCATCATAAGCAACACCCCCATCTGAGACTGTGCCCCCCATCAGAGATCTCCCCCTGAGCTGAACTAAATTTTTTATAGGGAGATGCTCAAATGAGCATTCAACTCCGCCCCAATTAGAAGCTGATAAGGCTCACATGAATAGGGGGGGATGTTGTTTCTTGGGAACCAGGCCACAGTCCATAAACCTGAGTGCGCCTAGAGGTGAGGAACAAGTCAACAGATACACAGATAATTACACCACTTGTTTCAGAATTTAACAGGAGTCAATGCGTTTGTCTGGTTAAGAGTGGAGGTGTAAGGAGATAAAATGCAGTTACTGTGTGAAAGTAGAGAAGGCATAAATTAAAGTGCTGTGTTTTAACTGCTTCACACTCATTCAAAGCCGCACTCCATCATAAGCAGCACCCCCCATCAGAGACTGTGCCCCCCATCAGAGGTGGTACATGGTGGTCATATCCCCCCCCCCCTTATAAGTATTATACATGGAGATCATATCCCCCCGCCCTTATGTATTATACGTGGAGATCATTTCCCCCTTATGTATTATTCGTGGAGATCATATCCCCCCTTATGTATTATAGCGTGGTGATCATATCCCCCTTATGTATTATACGTGGAGATCATATCCCCCCTTATGTATTATACGTGGAGATCATATCCCCCTTATAAGTATTATACGTGGAGATCATATCCCCCCCTTATGTATTATACGTGGAGATCATTCATATCCCCCCCCTTATGTATTATACATGGAGATCATATCCCCCTTATGTATTATACATGGAGATCATATCCCCCTTATGTATTATACATGGAGTTCATATCCCACCCTTATGTATTATACCCCCCTTATGTATTATACATGGAGATCATATCCCCCCTTATGTATTATACATGGAGATCATATCCCCCTTATGTATTATACATGGAGATCATATCCCCCCTTATGTATTATACATGGATCATATCCCCCCTTATGTATTATACATGGAGATCATCATATCCCCCTTATGTATTATACATGGAGATCATATCCCCCCTTATGTATTATACATGGAGATCATATCCCCCCTTATGTATTATACATGGAGATCATATCCCCCCTTATGTATTATACATGGAGATCATATCCCCCCTTATGTATTATACATACATGGAGATCATATCCCCCTTATGTATTATACATGGAGATCATATCCCCCCCTTATGTATTATACATGGAGATCATATCCCCCCCCCCTTATGTATTATACATGGAGATCATATCCCCCCTTATGTATTATACATGGAGATCATATCCCCCCTTATGTATTATACATGGAGATCATATCCCCCCTTATGTATTATACATGGATCATATCCCCCCTTATGTATTATACATGGAGATCATATCCCCCCCTTATGTATTATACATGGAGATCATATCCCCCCTTATGTATTATACATGGAGATCATATCCCCCCTTATGTATTATACATGGAGATCATATCCCCCTTATGTATTATACATGGAGATCATATCCCCCCTTATGTATTATACATGGAGATCATATCCCCCCTTATGTATTATACATGGAGATCATATCCCCCCTTATGTATTATACATGGAGATCATATCCCCCCTTATGTATTATACATGGAGGGATCATCATATCCCCCCCCCCTTATGTATTATACATGGAGATCATATCCCCCCCTTATGTATTATACATGGAGATCATATCCCCCCCTTATGTATTATACATGGAGATCATATCCCCCCCTTATGTATTATACATGGAGATCATGGATATCCTCATACATGGAGATCTATCCCCCCTTACATATTATACATGGAGATCATATCCCCCCCCCTTATGTATTATACATTGGAGATCATATCCCCCTGAATCTCTCTTCTCAGTAGAGATACATTCATATTCCTCTAATCTCTCCTCATAGCTGATCTCCTCCATGCCTCGTATCAGTTTGGTTGCCTTTCTCTGTACTGCCCCCCATTTTTCCTCGTTTCTACCAGTCCCCAATGTTCTTTTTGTGAATTGGAGCCCAAAATTGAACTGCATATTCCAGATGAGGTCTTACTAATGATTTGTTCCCGGGGGGATGGGGGGTGATTCTCTCTCTCTCTGGAGTCTATACCTTTCTCTAATACACAGAGAGGATTTTGGTCGCTTTAGTACCCACAGCTTTGATTGCATGCTGCCATTATTAACCCCCTTTGTGATCTACACTTGGAGATCCCCCCAGATCCTTTTCCTCCAGTGACCCCCCCAGATTCCTTCACCACTGACCCCCCTTTACCTCCCCAGATCCTTCTCCACCATTGTCTCCTAGATCCTTCTCTGTACCATTGATCCCCTCCCCCCAGATCCTTCTCCACCATTTGACCCCCCCAGTTGTACCCCCCTAGTATGTATGGTGCATATTCTTAGCCCCCAAGTGCAGAACCTTACATTTATCACCATTAGCCCTCATTGGCCCCATAGCCCCCCAATTACACAGAGCATTGAGGTCGGCTTGTAAGTTGGAGACATCCTGTAAGGACGTTATTCCCCGGCACAGCTTGGTGTCATCTGCAAAGACTGGAATGGGGTTTATAATCTCACACCCCATATTGTGTTTATATATATATTAATAAGTAAGGGTCCCAACACTGATCCCTGGGGTACCCCACTAATAACACTGAACCTATAACACTGAACCTTGGGGTACCCCACTAATAACACTGAACCTGGGGTACCCCACTAATAACACTGAACCTTGGGGTACCCCACTAATAAACACTGAACCTTGGGGTACCCCACTAATAACACTGAACCCTGGGGTACCCCACTAATAACACTGAACCTTGGGGTACCCCACTAATAACACTGAACCTTGGGGTACCCACTAATAACACTGAACCTTGGGGTACACCACAAATAATAACACTGAACCTTGGGGTACCCCACTAATAACACTGAACCTTTGGGTACCCCACTAATAACACTGAACCTTGGGGTACCCCACTAATAACACTGAACCTTGGGGTACCCCACCACTAATATTTGGGGTACCCCACTGAACCCTGGGGTACCCCACTAATACTGAACCTTGGGGTACCCCACTAATAGCACTGAACCTTGGGGTACCCCACTAACAACACTGAACCTTGGGGTACCCCACTAATAACAACACTGAACCTTGGGGTACCCCACTAATAACACTGAACCTTGGGGTACCCCCCACTAATAACACTGAACCTTGGGGGTACCCCACTAATAACACTGAACCTTGGGGTACCCCACTGACCCACCCAGACCATTCAGAGTATGAATCAAGTTAACCACTACTCTCTGAATACTGAATACGATGGATTTTAGCCAGTTTTCTATCCATTTACATTCAGATTTTTCCAGCCCATAGACTTTACCCCACTACACATTAGCCGTGTGTGGGGAACTGTGTCCAAGTATACCACGTCCACCGCCACCCCTCTGTCCAAGTATACCACGTCCACCGCCACCCCTCTGTCCAAGTATACCACGTCCACCGCCACCCCTCTGTCCAAGTATACCACGTCCACCGCCAGCCACCCCTCTGTCCAAGTATACCACCACGTACGTCCACCGCCACCCCCCTCTGTCCAAGTATACCACGTCCACCGCCACCCCTCTGTCCAAGTATACCACGTCCACAGCCACCCCTCTGTCCAAGTATACCACGTCCACCGCCACCCCCTCTGTCCAAGTATACCACGTCCACCGCCACCCCCTCTGTCCAAGTATACCACGTCCACCGCCCCCCCCTCTGTCCAAGTATACCACGTCCACCGCCACCCCTCTGTCCAAGTATACCACGTCCACCGCCACCCCTCTGTCCAAGTATACCACGTCCACCGCCACCCCTCTGTCCAAGTATACCACGTCCACCGCCACCCCTCTGTCCAAGTATACCACGTCCACCGCCACCCCTCTGTCCAAGTATACCACGTCCACCGACACCCCCTCTGTCCAAGTATACCACAACCACCGCCACCCCTCTGTCCAAGTGTACCACGTCCATCGCCACCCCTCTGTCCAAGTATACCACGTCCACCGCCACCCCTCTGTCCAAGTGTTACCCACGTCCACCGCCACCCCTCTGTCCAAGTATACCATGTCCACAGCCACCCCCACCCTCTGTCCAAATATATACCACAACCAGAGCCACCCCTCTGTCCAAGTATACCACGTCCACCACCACCCCTCTGTCCAAGTATACCACGTCCACCGCCACCCCTCTGTCCAAATATACCACGTCCAGAGCCACCCCTCTGTCCAATTATACCACGTCCACCACCACCCCTCTGTCCAAGTATACCACGTCCACCCGCCTCCCCTCTGTCCAAGTATACCACGTCCACCACCACCCCTCTGTCCAAGTATACCACGTCCACCGCTACCCCTCTGTCCAAGTATACCACATCCACCACCACCCCTCTGTCCAAGTATACCACATCCACCGCAACCCCTCTGTCCAAGTATACCACGTCCACCCCACCCATCTGTCCAAGGATTTGCTCACTCACATCCAATCTAACCTGTTTCATGATGGTTTAATCCCAGCTCACCTCTACATGTTGTCTACAGTAAACATTTAAGCTTCCACTGATAACAGAATACTAATACTGAGAGTTCTCCTGACCCTTATACTATATAACTTGTACATTACATACTCCTGACCCCCTGCACTATATACTCTATGTTGTACATTACATACTCCTGACCCCTGCACTATATACTCTATGTTGTACATTACATCCTCCTGACCCCTGCACTATATACTCTATGTTGTACATTACATACTCCTGACCCCTGCACTATATACTCTATGTTGTACATTACATACTCCTGACCCCTGCACTATATACTCCATGTTGTACATTACATACTCCTGACCCCTGCACGCTATATACTCCATGTTGTACATTACATACTCCTGACCCCTGCGCACTATATACTCTATGTTGTACATTACATACTCCTGACCTCTGCACTATATATACTCTATGTTGTACATTACATCCTCCTGACCCCCCCCTGCACTATATACTCTATGTTGTACATTACATACTCCTGACCCCTGCACTATATACTCTGTTGTACATTACATACTCCTGACCCCTGCACTGTATACTCTATGTTGTACATTACATACTCCTGACCCCTGCACTATATACTCTGTTGTACATTACATTACTATTGACCCCTGCACTATATACTCTATGTTGTACATTACATACTCCTGACCCCTGCACTATATACTCTATGTTGTACATTACATACTCCTGACCCCTGCACTATATACTCTATGTTGTACATTACATACTCCTGACCCCTGCACTATATACTCTATGTTGTACATTACATACTCCTGACCCCTGCACTATATACTCTATGTTGTACATTACATACTCCTGACCCTGCACTATATACTTTGTTGTGCATTACATACTCCTGGCCCCTGCACTATATACTCTGTTGTACATTACATACTCCTGACCCCTGCACTATATACTCTATGTTGTACATTACATACTCCTGACCCCTGCACTATATACTCTGTTGAACATTGCATACTCCTGACCCCTGCACTATATACTCTGTTGTACATTACATACTCCTGACCCCTGCACTATATACTCTGTTGTACATTACATCCTCCTGACCCCTGCACTATATACTCTATGCTGTACATTACATGCTCCTGACCCCTGCACTTTATACTCTATGTTGTTACATTACATATTTCTGACCCCTGCACTATATACTCTATGTTGTACATTACATACTCCTGACCCCTGCACTATAAACTTTATGTTGTATATTACATAATCCTGGTCTCTGCACTATATAATCAATAACAATTCTGTGTCCCTGAGTAACAATTCTGTGTCTGTGCGAGTAACAATTCTGTGGCCCTAAGTAACAGTTCTGTGGCCCTCAGTAACCAATTCTGTGTCCCTGATTAACGTTTCTGTGGCCCCAAGTAACAGTTCTGTGGCCCTCAGTAACAATTTCTGTGTCTGTGCGAGTAACAATTCTGTGTCTGTGCGTCGCAGTAACAATTCTGTGGCCCTAAGTAACAGTTCTGTGGCCCTCAGTAACAGTTCTGTGGCCCTGAGTAACAATTCTGTGTCTGTGCGAGTAACAATTCTGTGTCTGTGTGAGTAACAATTCTGTCTGTGCGAGTAACAATTCTGTGGCCCTAAGTAACGGTTCTGTGGCCCTCAGTAACAGTTCTGTGTCCCTGTGTGTAACAATTCTGTGTCTGTGCGAGTAACAATTCTGTGGCCCTAAGTAACAGTTCTGTGGCCCTCAGTAACAATTCTGTGTCCCTGATTAACGTTTCTGTGGCCCCCTGAGTAACAGTTCTGTGGCCCTCAGTAACAATTCTGTGTCTGTGCGAGTAACAATTTTCTGTGTCTGTGCGAGTAACAATTCTCTGTGGCCCTAAGTAACAGTATTCTGTGGCCCTCAGTAACAGTTCTGTGTCCCTGTGTAACAATTCTGTGTCTGTGCGAGTAACAATTCTGTGGCCCTAAGTAACAGTTCTGTGGCCCTCAGTAACAATTCTGTGTCTGTCCCTGAGTAACAATTCTGTGGCCCTAAGTAACAGTTCTGTGGCCCTAAGTAACACAATTCTCTGGCACTCAGTAACAATTCTGTCTGTCCCTGAGTAACAATTCTGTGGCCCTAATAACGTTTTCTGTGGCCCTAAGTAACAATTCTCTGGCACTCAGTAACAATTCTGTCTGTCCCTGAGTAACAATTCTGTGGCCCTCAGTAACAATTCTGTCTGTCCCTGAGTAAAAATTCTGTGGCCCTAAGTAACAGTTTCTGTGGCCCTGAGTAACAATTCTCTGGCACTCCGTAACAATTCTGTCTGTCCCTGAGTAACAATTCTCTGGCACTCAGTAACAATTCTGTCTGTCCCTGAGTAAAAATTCTGTGGCCCTAAGTAAAGTTTCTGTGGCCCTGAGTAAACAATTCTCTGGCACTCCGTAACAATTCTGTCTGTCCCTGAGTAACAATTCTCTGGCACTCAGTAACAATTCTGTCTGTCCCTGAGTAAAAATTCTGTGGCCCTAAGTAAAGTTTCTGTGGCCCTGAGTAACAATTCTCTGGCACTCCGTAACAATTCTGTCTGTCCCTGAGTATGAATTCTGTGGCCCCCTAACTAGCGTTTCTGTTGTCCCTAAGTAACAATTCTCTGTGGCCCTGAGTAACAATTCTGTGTCTGTGCGAGTAACAATTCTGTGGCCCTAAGTAACAGTTCTGTGGCCCTCAGTAACAGTTCTGTGTCTGTGCGAGTAACAATTCTGTGTCTGTGCGAAGCTGAGTAACAATTCTGTGGCCCTAAGTAACAGTTCTGTGGCCTTCAGTAACAATTCTGTGTCTGTGCGAGTAACAATTCTGTGTCTGTGCGAGTAACAATTCTGTGGCCTAAGTAAAGTTTCTGTCTGTGGCCCTAAGTAACAATTCTCTGGCACTCAGTAACAATTTCTGTCTGTCTGTCCCTGAGTAACAATTCTCTGGCACTCCGTAACAATTCTGTCTGTCCCTGAGTAACAAATTCTCTGGCACTCAGTAACAATTCTGTCTGTCCCTGAGTAAAAATTCTGTGGCCCTAAGTAAAGTTTCTGTGGCCCTGAGTAACAATTCTTGGCTCTGGCACTCCGTAACAATTCTGTCTGTCCCTGAGTAATGAATTCTCTGTGGCCCTAACTAGCGTTTCTTTGTCCCTAAGTAACAGTTCTGTGGCCCTGAGTAACAATTCTGTGTCTGTGCGAGTAACAATTCTGTGGCCCTAAGTAACAGTTCTGTGGCCCTCAGTAACAGTTCTGTGTCTGTGCGAGTAACAATTCTGTGTCTGTGCGAGTAACAATTCTGTGGCCCTAAGTAACAGTTCTGTGGCCTTCAGTAACAATTCTGTGTCTGTGCGAGTAACAATTCTGTGTCTGTGCGAGTAACAATTCTGTGGCCCTAAGTAAAGTTTCTGTGGCCCTAAGTAACAATTCTCTGGCACTCAGTAACAATTCTGTCTGTCCCTGAGTAACAATTCTCTTGGCACTCTCGTAACAATTCTGTCTGTCCCTGAGTAACAATTCTCTGGCACTCAGTAACAATTCTGTCTGTCCCTGAGTAAAAATTCTGTGGCCTAAGTAAAGTTTCTGTGGCCCTGAGTAACAAATCTCTGGCACTCCGTAACAATTCTGTCTGTCCCTGAGTAAACAATTCTGTGGCCCTAACTAACAATTTCTTTGTCCCTAAGTAACAAAATTCTGTGGCCCTGAGTAACAATTCTGTGTCCCTGCGAGTAAACAATTCTGTGGCCCTAAGTAACAGTTCTGTGGCCCTCAGTAACAGTTCTGTGTCTGTGCGAGAGTAACAATTCTGTGTCTGTGTCCTGAGTAACAAATTCTGTGGCCCTAAGTAACAGTTTGTCTGTGGCCTTCAGTAAACAATTCTGTGTCTGGCGAGTAAGTAACAATTCTGTGTCTGTGCGAGTAAGTAACAATTCTGTGGCCCTAAGTAAAAGTTTCTGTGGCCCTAAGTAACAATTCTCTGGCACTCAGTAACAATTCTGTCTGTCCCTGAGTAACATTTCTCTGGCACTCAGTAACAATTCTGTCTGTCCTGAGTAAAAATTCTGTGGCCCTAAGTAAAGTTTCTGTGTTCTGTGGCACTGAGTAACAATTCTGGCACTCAGTAACAATTCTGTCTGTCCCTGAGTAACAATTCTCTGGCACTCAGTAACAATTCTGTCTGTCCCTGAGTAAAAAATTCTGTGGCCCTAAGTAACAATTTCTGTGGCCCTGAGTAACAATTCAATTGGCGCTCAATTCTGGGCCAACTCCGTAACAATTCTGTCTGTCCCTGAGTAACAATTTTCTGGCACTCAGTAACAATTCTGTCTGTCCCTGAGTAAAAATTCTGTGGCCCTAAGTTAAAATTTCTGTCTGTGCCCTAAGTAACAATTCTCTGGCACTCTGAGTAACTCAGTAACAATTCTGTCTGTCCCTGAGTAACAATTCTCTGGCACTCCGTAACAATTCTGTCTGTCCCTGAGTAAACAATTCTCTGGGCACTCAGTAACAATTCTGTCTGTCCCCCTGAGTAAAAAATTCTGTGGCCCTAAGTAAAGTTTCTGTGGCCCTGAGTAACAATTCTCTGGCACTCCGTAACAATTCTGTCTGTCCCTGATGAGTATGAATTCTGTGGCCCTAAGTAACGTTTCTGTGTCCCTCCCTCAGTAACAGTTCTGTGGCCCTGAGTAACAATTCTGTGTCTGTGGAGTAACAATTCTGTGGCCCTAAGTAACAGTTCTGTGGCCCTCAGTAACAATTCTGTGTCTGTGCGAGTAAACAATTCTGTGTCTGTGCGAGTAACAATTCTGTGGCCCTAAGTAAAGTTTCTGTGGCCCTCAGTAACAGTTCTGTGTCTGTGCGAGTAACAATTCTGTGTCTGTGCGAGTAACAATTCTGTGGCCCTAAGTAAAGTTTTTGTGGCCCTAAGTAACAATTCTCTGGCACTCCGTAACAATTCTGTCTGTCCCTGAGTAACAATTCTCTGGCACTCAGTAAACAATTCTGTCTGTCCCTGAGTAAAAATTCTGTGGCCCTAAGTAAAGTTTCTGTGGCCCTGAGTAACAATTCTCTGGCACTCCGTAACAAATTCTGTCTGTCCCTGAGTAACAATTCTGTGGCCCTAACTAGCGTTTCTTTGTCCCTAAGTAACAGTTCTGTGGCCCTGAGTAACAATTCTGTGTCTGTGCGCTTAACAATTCTGTGGCCCTAAGTAACAGTTCTGTGGCCCTCAGTAACAGTTCTGTGTCTGTGCGAGTAATGAGTAACAATTCTGTGTCTGTGCGAGTAACAATTCTGTGGCCCTAAGTAAAGTTTCTGTGGCCTCAGTAACAGTTCTGTGTCTGTGCGAGTAACAATTCTGTGTCTGTGCGAGTAACAATTCTGTGGCCCTAAGTAAAGTTTCTGTGGCCCCTAAGTAACAATTCTCTGGCACTCAGTAACAATTCTGTCTGTCCCTGAGTAACAATTCTCTGGCACTCAGTAACAATTCTGTCTGTCCCCTGAGTAAAAATTCTGTGGCCCTAAGTAAAGTTTCTGTGGCCCTGAGTAACAATTCTCTGGCACTCCGTAAAAATTCTGTCTGTCCCTGAGTAACAATTCTCTGGCACTCAGTAACAATTCTGTCTGTCCCTGAGTAAAAATTCTGTGGCCCTAAGTAAAGTTTCTGTGGCCCTGAGTAACAATTCTCTGGCACTCCGTAACAATTCTGTCTGTCCCTGAGTATGAATTCTGTGGCCCTAACTAGCGTTTCTTTGTCCCTAAGTAACAGTTCTGTGGCCCTGAGTAACAATTCTGTGTCTGTGCGAGTAACAATTCTGTGGCCCTAAGTACAGTTCTGTGGCCCTCAGTAACAGTTCTGTGTCTGTGCGAGTAACAATTCTGTGTCTGTGCGAGTAACAATTCTGTGGCCCTAAGTAACAGTTCTGTGGCCTTCAGTAACAATTCTGTGTCTGTGCGAGTAAACAATTCTGTGTCTGTGCGAGTAACAATTCTGTGGCCCTAAGTAAAGGTTCTGTGGCCCTCAGTAACAATTCTGTGTCTGTGCGAGTAACAATTCTGTCTGTCCCTGTCTGTGCTGTGGTAACAATTCTGTGGCCCTAAGTAACAGTTCTGTGGCCCCTCAGTAACAATTTCTGTGTCTGTGCGAGTAACAATTCTGTGTCTGTGCGAGTAAACAATTCTGTGGGCCCTAAGTAAAGTTTCTGTGGCCCTAAGTAACAATTCTCTGGCACTCAGTAACAATTCTGTCTGTCCCTGAGTGAGACAATTCTCTGGCACTCAGTAACAATTCTGTCTGTCCCTGAGTAAAAATTCTGTGGCCCTAAGTAAAGTTTCTGTGGCCCTGAGTAACAATTCTCTGGCACTCAGTAACAATTCTGTCTGTCCCTGAGTAACAATTCTCTGGCACTCAGTAACAATTCTGTCTGTCCCTGAGTAAAAATTCTGTGGCCCTAAGTAAAGTTTCTGTGGCCCTAAGTAACAATTCTCTGGCACTCAGTAACAATTCTGTCTGTCCCTGAGTAAAAATTCTGTGGCCCTCAATTAAAGTTTCTGTGGCCCTAGTAACAATTCTCTGGCACTCAGTAACAATTCTGTCTGTCCCTGAGTAAAAATTCTGTGGCCCTAATAACGTTTCTGTGGCCCTAAGTAACAATTCTCTGGCACTGAGTAACAATTCTGTCTGTCCCTGATTATGAATTCTGTGGCCCTAACTAGCGTTTCTTTGTCCCTAAATAACGATTCTGTGGCCCTCATTAACAAGTCTGTGTCCCTGAGTAATGGTTCTCTGTCCCTAAGTAACTTTTCTCTGTCCCCAATTATCGTTTCTGTGGCCCTAACTCTGTCCCTGTCCCTAGTACAGAGCGGTCTGCCTCTGTTCAATAACTGCAGGCAAATGAAGAATTCCAAAATGGCCGCTATTTATAGCTCGACCATTACATAGTGCTGGCTGGCTGGCTGCTGATTGGCTGATGCGATCACATGTCGTTGAGGAATGCATTATGGGTCAGCGCGCCTTGTCTGCGTGCCTTCCCAGACATCCCCGCTCCGTCGCCGCACACTGTCAGCCGCCATTTTCTGAAAAATTTCGATTCGCGCGTCCGAATTAGGCTATTTTTCGGATTCGGCACGAATCGAAATTTTTCCGATATTCGACTCGAATTCCACTTCGGATACTTCGATTCGCTCATCTCTAGTCCTAATCTTGTAGACTTCACCACCACATCTCCAAGAGATGCCTGTTCTTAACCTTTGAAACTACTACTCCCTGGTTATCTCTCGCCTTGACTATTGTAACTCCCTCCTCATTGGCCGACCTCATCGTAGGCTATCCCCTCTTCAGTCTATCATGAATGCTGCTGCCAGACTCATCCACCTTACTAACCATTCTGTATTTGCCACCCCTCTCTGCCAATCCCTCCACTGGCCTCCACTCAATGTCCTCCACCCCTCTCTGCCAGTCCCTCCACCAGCCTCTACTCAGTGTCCTCCACCCCTCTCTGCCAATCCCTCCACTGGCCCCCACTCAGTGTTCTCCATCCCTCTCTACCAATCCCTCCACTGGCCTCCAGTCAGTGTCCTCCACCCTTCTCTGCCAATCCCTCCACTGGCCTCCATGCAGTGTCCTCCACCCCTCACTTACAATCCCTCCACTGACCTCCACTCAGTGTTCTCCACTCCTCTCTGCCAATCCCTCCACTCAGTGTCCTCCACCCCTCTCTGCCAAGACCTCCACTGGCCTCCACTCAGTGTCCTCCATCCCTCTCTGCCAATCCCTCCACTGGTCTCAATTCAGTGCCCTCCACCCCTCTCTGCCAATCCCTCCACTGACTTCCACTCAGTGTTCTCCATCCCTCTCTGCCAATCCCTCCACTGGCTTCCCATTGCCCAACAGATAAAATTAAAAACATTAACAAAAACATATAAAGCCATTTATAACTCCGCCCCAAATTACATCACCGATCTTGTCTCTAAATATCACCCAAACTGTACTGTACTCTCCACTCCGCATATGACCTCCTGCTCTCTAGCTCCCTTTTCTCCTCCTCCCATGCTCGTCTGCAGGACTTCTCCAGAGCTTTCCCCATCCTCTGAAACTCTGTCAGGAATGGACTTGCCAATAGTGGTGGGACTCACCTGCCTTGTGGGCTGCAGTATCAGGGCTGGCCAGCGGTGCTCTCAACAACCAGAGGTTCACTTCGGCAATTATCCATCACCTGGGGCTGATTGCAGGTGGTGTATTTAAGGGATGGCCAGACCTGCAGTCTGTGCCTTGGTGTGTGTTTTTCCATGGCCCCTGTATCTTGTAACCTGCATTCCTGTTCCTGTTTCTGCCTGACTTGTTGCCGACCCTGCCTGATCCTGACCTCTGCTGACTTCTCCTGTTTGATCCCTGGCTTGTGACCCTGACCATTCTCTGCCTGACCCCCTGTACCTACCTGTCCGTTAGTTGCTGTACCCAGCTCGTGACCTGACTACTCTCCGCCTGCTCCTCCTGTACCTACCTGCCCAATAGTTATCAACCCGGCCTGCCTGACTACGTTGTGCTCTATATGTGTATGTACCTGGTATCTATATCAGTTTAGGTTTGGGTTTGTTTCACCTTGTTGTATGTATTTGTGTTAGCTTGGGGTTTGATGCACTGCGTTTATGTTTGTATTGTTAGTCTTAATAAATTGTCTTTATTTATACCAAATCTGAAGCTTGCGTTTCCCTGTGTCAGTCCACACACTTCTGGTAACACCCGCATCCCTGACAAACTCTCTACCACAATTTATCAGACTATCACCTACTCTGCTCACTTTTAGGCAATCTCTGAAAACATAACTCTTTAGGGAAGCCTATCCTGCCCTCAGCTAATAATGGAATCTTCTACTCCTCCTACCAGTCCATCCCCCACAGTTACTACCTTTTGTACCACTAGCCCCTCCCTCCTAGATTGTAAGCTCCAAGGAGCAGGGCCCTCAAATCCCTCTTGTATTGAACTGTATTGTTGCTGTATTGCCTTCCATTATATTGTAAAGCACTGTTGGCTCTATATAAATCCTGTATAATAATAATATTCTGTTTCTAACATTATAAAGTATTAGTTTGAGTTCATTGTATGACAACGTTGTTATGTTACAGAAGACGTGAGATAAGAAGTCTCAGTATAATGACCTCATCTTTTTGTAGGATATATACAGTTGCAAGAAAAAGTATGTGAACCCCTTGGGATTACGTGGAGTTTTGCATGAATTGGGCATAAAATGTGCTCTGAACGTCATCTAAGTCACAACAATAGAAGAACACAGTCTGCTGAACATAATACTACACAAAGATTAGATGTTGCCATGGTTTAAACAATTACAGAGATTGTACATAACATGTAAACATTCACAGTGCAGGGAGGAAAAAGTATGTGAACCTTTGGACTTAATAACTGGTTGACCTTCCTTTGGCAGCAATAACCTCAACCAAACGTTTCCTGTAGTTGCAGATCAGACCTGCACAACGATCTGGAGTAATTGTGGACCACTCCTCTTCACAAAACTGTTTCAGTGTAGCAATATTCTTGGGATGTCTGGTGTGAATCGCTCTCTTAAGGTCATATCACAGCATTTCAATGGGGTTGAGGTCAGGACTCTGACTGGGCCACTCCAGAAGGCATATTCTGTGCTGTTGCAGCCATTGTTTTGTTGAATGACTTGTATGCTTTGGGTCATTGTCCTGTTGCATCACCCATCCTCTGCGGAGCTTCAGTTGGCGGACAGATGGTCCTACATTTTCCTGCAAAATGTCTTGATAAACTCTGGAATTCATTTTCCCCATCAATGAGAACAATCCATCCAGGCCCTGAGGCAGCAAAGCAGCCCCAAACCATGATGCTCCCTCCGCCATGTTTTACAGTGGGGATGAGGTTTTGATGTTGGTGTGCTGTGCCTTTTTTTCTCCACACATAGTGTTGTGTGTTCTTCCCAAACAACTCAATCTTGGTTTCATCATGTCCACAGTATATTTTGCCAGTAGTGCTGTGGAACATCCAGGTGCTCTTTTGCAAACTTCAAACGTGCTGCAATCTTCTTTTTGGACAGCAATGGCTTCCTCCGTGGTGTCCTCCCATGTACTCCATTCTTGTTTAATGTTTTCCTTATTGTAGATGTGTCAACAAAAATGTTAGCATGTGCCAGAGATTTCTGTAGGTCTTTAGCTGACACTCTGGGATTCTTCTTTACCTCATGCAGCATTCTGCGCTGTGCTCTTGCAGTCATTTTTACAGAACGACCACGCCTAGGGAGAGTAGCAACAGTGCTAAACTTTCTCCATTTGTAGACAGTCTGTCTTACCGTGGACACATGAACATCAAGGCTTTTGGAGATGCTTTTGTAACCCTTTCCAGCTTCATGCAAGTCAACAATTCTTGATCGTAGGTCTTCTGAGAGCTCTTTTCTGCGAGGCATGGTTCACATCAGACAGTGCTTCTTGAAACCAGTAAACCCAAAACAGGTGTGTGTTTTTTAAGGGCAGGACAGCTGTCAGCAACACATCCAATATTATCACACTGATTGGAGTCAAGCTTGGCTCACTCCTGGCTCCAATTAGCTCTGGGAGAAGTCATTAAGCTAGGGCCTCACATACTTTTTCCTCCCTGCACTGTGAATGTTTACATGTTATGTGCAATTAAACCATGGCAACATCTAATGTTTAAAGGTCAACCCTTGTCATGTTCCAGAAGACCCAAATCCTTCCCAATCCTATACTGCCCCCTTCAGGTCATTGAAATCTTTATATAGAGAAATGACACCTAGTCTGAGGTCACTTTTAGGTGAAGATAAGCTTTGCCCGCCTAGGTTTATGTGGGGGATAAAAGTAAGAGACGGACAGAGAAGAGACACACATCACCAAAGAGACCTCACAAGACAGGAGACAAGGGACAACAGACGGACACAGACACCCCCTGAAGTGAGCGCACTGAAAGCTGACATCACTGACACCATACAGTCCATATTGGGAACTAGAACTTTCATTTTCCTCAGATAACTTGTACTCCCCTTATATCTCCAGATACATTGTTTAGTCCGATAACGGTTCTGGTGAGCACAGGAGGGGATGTGACGTCATTTTACCTGCAGTATAAATTATTATCATTTCCCTCCTCTGGGGAAGATTGATTTTACATATCCCTGAAGCTGATTCTGGCTTCTAGTCAATGGTTTATCCGGATGTATACAGTATATATATATGACAAGGTAGACTACTTCATGTAACATTACATCTTCATCTCAGATTGTAAGCGGATTGGATTGGCCTGTGTATGGGATTCCAGATCAAGTCATGGCAAGGTACACGTTGAGCGTTGAATATCTGGGTGTAGAGAGATCACGGGGGGGATTTGTATATCTGTTGTCACATGTTGCTGAGTTACTGTTTTCTTACACGACATTTCCAGACAGTTGGATGTAATTCATTAATATTTGGAAGTAATTGCTGGCTTGTATTTCTCCCCCATTATTGTGGATTAGATCATTGTACTGTTATCTTGTATTGTTTATTATTTATCATCACCTATTATATTTCATCCCCATTTTGTACTGATTTATATTATTAATAAATATATATTTTTGCACATTATTGCTTTTTATTTTGTCTTCCAATTATCACAAATACAGAACTGGGATGTCGGTTACTTTGTGAGAATTAGTAGGGAATCTCCTTCATTCCAGATCCCGCCTGTTTCCATGAATTGTATACGGATTATTTCCTCACAGATAAAGTTCTGACATATTTTCGGAGATCCCACCAAGATTTGCCTACATTTGAAACAGATAGAAAAATATAATGGTGCAAGTATAGATATTTTATTGTCATTTTCTTGGTTCTGAAAGCGCTGTTGTCAGTTACAAATACAGAAAATGTGATGTGATGTGAGAAGTGTTCCTAGTAGATGTAGCCATTCTGGTGCCGAATCTGAAGCTATTCTGAGTCAGAGAGATGTCAGAGAATTGGTGACATTTCAGGGGATGTCTTTTGTGAAAGATAAGTTGGACATTAAGCAGGATATGAATGATTGGGTAACTGAAATGTGGAGTAGGATTCCAGGGTATACAAATGATATCTGCTCTGATGATTCACGTGTTGCTGGCTATCTGTATATAATAGCTGAGGATAAAACAAAGAAAGAAAAAGAAACACGGCTGCATAAATCTCGGCCAGAATTTCTTGATGTCATTTTTGAATTGGCAGAACAATTAAATAAAGCAAAATTGGATATCAGGCCAGAGGCTGAGAACGTTAAACACTTACAGAGAAAACTCCATGAGATAGAAACTCAATCTACAAACATTTCTGCTGAGATGGAACAATTGTCAGATAAAATGTTCAATTTTAAGAAAAATTATTTGCAAAATAATCTTTAAACACTTCCAGTCCGGACGGTCGAGCTATAAATGGCGGCCCATTTTAGAATTCTCCATTTGCCTCCAGTCATTCAAGAGAGGCAGACCTCTCTGTATTAGGGACAGAGTTAGGGCCACAAAAACGTTACTTAGGGACAGAGAAACGTTACTTAGGGCCACAGAAACGTTACTTAGGGACAGAGAAACGTTACTTAGGGCCACAGAAACATTACTTAGGGCCACAGAAACGTTACTTAGGGCCACAGAAACGTTACTTAGGGCCACAGAACCGTTACTTAGGGCCACAGAAA